TGTATATCCGTGTGAGCCACACGAAATATTTCTTCACACAGAAAGAACTGAACATGAGACAGCGGAGATGGCTAGAACTGATTAAAGACTATGACCTACAGATTTTGTACCATCCGGGAAAAGCCAATACCGTTGCTGATGCATTGAGTCAGAAATCAATTGGAAACTTGGCCTGTTTACTCACTGGACAGAAAGAGCTGCTTTGTGACCTTGAAAAATCTGAAATTGAAATTGTTTTGCGAGAACAAGGTGGAACCTTAGCTGCTATTTCTGCTCGACCGGCACTGATCGAAGAAATTAAAGAGAAACAGCAACTGGATGACTTCTTGAAGAAGATCATCAAAGAAAGGGAAACTAAACCTAGACCGGGTTTCAAGGTTGAGAATGATGTACTGAAATTTCAAGGAAGACTGTGTGTACCGAATGATACTGAATTGAGAAAAAGAGTTCTGCAAGAGGGCCACAATTCAAAACTGTCTATCCATCCAGGGAACACGAAGATGTACCAAGACCTGAAATTGAATTTCTGGTGGCCGGGAATGAAGAAAGAAATCGCAGAATTTGTATCGAAATGTCTTCATTGCCAACAAGTTAAAGCCGAACATCAACGACCCGCAGGTTTATTGCAGCCCTTATCGATATCGGAGTGGAAATGGGAGCATATCACCATGGATTTTATGGTGGGATTGCCTCGCTCCAGTAAAGGTATGGACTCGATTTGGGTTATTGTTGATAGACTGACTAAATCTGCTCACTTCTTACCTGTTAAGACAATTTATAATGCGGACAAATTGGCTGTACTCTAAATTGATGAAATTGTTAGACTGCATGGAGTGCCCGTGTCCATTGTTTCTGACAGGGATTCGAAGTTTACATCGAGATTTTGGCAAAGCCTACAGACTGCTCTGGGTACTTAATTGAAACTGAGTAGTGCCTATCATCCTCAGACAGATGGCCAGTCAGAAAGGACCATCCAGACTCTAGAGGATTTACTGAGAATGTGTGTCCTTGATTCTCAGGGAAACTGGGAAAGCCATTTGCCATTGGCTGAATTCGCCTACAACAACAGCTATCATTCAAGTATTGGTATGGCGCCTTGCGAGGCATTGTATGGTAGAAAATGTAGATCTCCGATTTGCTGGGCAGAAGTTGGAGACGGGCCTTTGCTTGGGCCCGAGATTGTTTATGAAACGACTGAGAAAGTGAAACTGATACAACAGAGATTGAAAACTGCACAGAGCAGACAGAAGAGTTATGCTGATGTCAGAAGACGAGACAGAGAGTATGAAGTGGGTGATCACGTATTTGTGAAAGTGACACCGATGAAGGGCCAGACTCGTTTTGGAGTCAAAGGCAAGTTAGCACCGAGATACGTCGGACCATATGAGGTTATTGAGAAAATCAATCCAGTGGCGTATCAAGTTGCGCTTCCTCCTGAAATGGAGCATATGCATAATGTCTTCCACATTTCTATGTTGAGAGACTACCTCCGGGATCCTTTCCATGTAATAGAGCCTACCCGTGTAGTGCTGAGAAGCTCTTATCAATTAAGCATCTTGAATTTTCACATCTATGTAAATGTAATTGCTTGTTTCATCCATGTTTAAAGTTGGGTAACGATGGATCGACACTCTAAACCTATATGGACTTTGAACCAAATCAAATATAACTTTGAGAATCAAAAGATATTTTTCAAAATCAGGTCATTTTTATTATCAATATGATAGAACGGTTTAAGTAACTTATTATAACTCATGGTTTTCAATTGTTACCATTTTTGTTTTTCTTTTTGACTAGAAAGTCCAGAAGTTTAGGAAAGTTGAGTACAAGAACAATTGTTTGGGATGTTCTAAATAAATGTATTTTTTGACTTTTTGTTAAATATGAGTGGGTTTGAAGTAATGTGGTAGAGATGTGATGTGACTTAAATAAGATAATGTTACTTAAATAGAATAATGATTTTTTGACTTTTTAACTTTTTTAAAAAATGTCAAACCTAACCTTAAACGATAATTGGAGAACAAATTGAACTCAGGTTACTCAAATTAAGTAAATTCGAGTTGCACCCTGACTGTACAAGGGATAATTTGTAAATTTTGATACCACAAGAGATATTTGTATTTTCAATTAACTATGTGGGTGGTACGTGTAATTTATCCTATTTCGTTCGCTTCCACGCCGTTTTTTTTCTCCATTTCTTTTGAACATTCCAAGCCGCTCGATTGTGCAACTTCCTTAAATCCAACGGTTCAAATTAGGAAAATCCGGACTTGAATCACACTTGTCGCCGCGTCCGTCTCCCATAACGGAAAATTATAAGGACTCCTGTAATATGTCAAGTCACTAATTATGATTCATTATATCTTTTTATATTTCTTAATCACTTAATATAAAATTATTATATTTGATTTTTCACTAATCATAATATCATAAAGTATCACATAACAATAGAGTATCACGTGCTCGTATTCCGAGAGTACTCAATAAACACTCTCTTTTTACAATCTCACACATGAGTAATTATCATATATTCCAGAAATTTCACATTGACTATGTGATCAACCCATAAGAGCATCTTCAATGCTAATAGACATTTTACTTATTTAAACATTATTATAAAGTATACATTTTATTTGATCTATCAATTGTTTCATATTTCTACTATAACCATACTCTTTATTTTAACTATTCATTCAAATATTATTAATTTTATAGAATACCACATCAATATTAAAGATGGCGGTAAATGATCTTAATGATTAAATACATTTTATCTAACCTTTGAAGGATTCCTATATATAGTTAGTGAATGTGAGTTGAGCTAAAATATCTAATCATATACCTAATACATTGAAATTAAAAATAAAAATAAAAAAGTGAATCATACTAGGGATTTGAACTAATATGCATATATGCCTAATAGATTGTAAATGCTCCAACAAGGGAATAAATGAATAAATAACCCCAATAACAAAGCATTTGTTTGGCATGTGGCTAAAATAAAGTTTGGTGCTAAAATAGTCATAAAAAAAATAAAATAGGCTAAAAGATTAATAAGATAAAATGTTACATCTAAATCATAATCATTTCATTTTTTTTCTTATAAAAATTAAAAACTTCTGCTCCAAATAAAATTTTTAATCCCAAATTAAAATAACCAAAAAAAAAAAAAGAAACCAACCCACTGCCAAACTAATCCATATAAACCCACGGAGCGTTGCTAACCTGTTAGATAATTTCTGCTCAGACATATATTATGATCCTCTCGCTCTTCAAAACAGGAGAGTTCGTTAGACGTGAGTCGTGATCCCTCATTCCCTCTCTCTCTCTCTCTCTCTCTGTGTGAAAATGGCATATAGAAGAAGGCAGCTGGGGATCACTAGGTCTTCGACATTCAAAGAGGAGATTCATTACCCTCCGGCCGATGATGAGACCAAGTCTTCTTCGTCTTCGTCGTCATCGTCATCTCTGGCCGCTCAGGCCATCCGAGCCTCCGCTGCCCATCGCGATTCGTCTTCTCTCTCCTCCGCTTACGGCGACTCCGTTTTTCACTCCTCTTTCAGAGAAAGACCCAAGGTTATTTCCCTCTCTAACCTCTCTTTTCAACAGATCCGTCTGCATGCCTTCTCATCACTGTTGTTGAATCCTGCACTATTATTGTTGAATCTTGCACTATTATGTATCGCTTATTGTATGTATAGTGTATCTCATAAGATACATAAACATGTATGAATGTGGTTAACACACACACACACACACAAAAAAGGAAAAAGTTTGAGAAGCTTAAAACATTTGTTATGTGAACTATTCCATATTAATTATTGATTTAGAACTTAACCAACAAGACTCAATTTCTTGCCACGAGGTGTATTTAGGGTCATGTTTTAGAAATGTCTAGCATTTTTTAGCCCAAATGCTAGACATTTCTTTTTTTTTTTTGGGTTGACGACTTTTTATTTTGGTTGATGACTTTTTTTCTTTTTTTTTTTTTACCAAAATAGTTCATCACATTTACTACATTGTTCATGAAAGGGCAATGCTTCATAACTTTTATTTAAAGGTGTTTGCTATTTGTAACTTTTCTTACGATGAGGATGAACATTTACATCTCAATAAAAGAAAAAGAAAAAAGAAAAAAAAAATTATATAATATCTAAATATATTAATGAAGTCACAATGACATGAAAAATTGTCCTTTTAAGACTACCTTCATTAAAAACCCAAGTATCTTGGGTCCATCTAGTTCATGATTTGCAACCAAAGACATTGTTCAGAACTTGTTTGGATATGACCATCCCAAACATACTTGTTACACGATATAAACTACATAGGCGGCTTAACCTTTTACGGTCCTTAGCCTAAAAATCTAAATGAGGCATTTTTATACATTTTTACATCATATGATTTTATTTTATTTTTAATTTAAAATACGTTTTCTTACTTTTTATGATGCAAAATTACTATGTAAATTTTTGTGTTTGTTTTTCTAATATATCATTTTCAATTGATATTATAGCTAATCCACTAAATAGTTTTCTATTGTTTTGAGCACGTAACATTGTTGTACTTTTCGTCTTGTTATTACTAATTTTTACAAATTGATACATTGCTGCGATGGTATACCAGTCTGCTTGTAATGAGTCATGAAAGAGATCTATGGTTAACTTTGACCACTCAGAAAATCATTCTTCCACTGAGTGAGTTGTTAGTATTTGACAATGTTGGCTTTATCTAGGTTTTTGGCCAGAGTTCTATTTGGATTAAGAAAAATCAAGTCAAATCAAAATCAACCATTTGATAATTATTCATGATACTTGTTGAAAAACTTTATAAAACCTAGTAGCAGCAAAAACGATAATCAAGTCAAATCAAAATCAACCATTTGATAATTATTTAATGCTTATTTTGTTAAACTGAATTCGACTAGTCCTACTATACCTGTTTGGGACAAGCCATGAGAATCCTTTTTGCTGCTACTAGGTTTTATAAAGTTTTTCAACAAGTATCATGAAGTTGTTGTAGAGTTCTATTTCCAGCTGATCTGATGCGATACTTGAAAACATAGGACTCTTCTGCCTATTACACATCATTGAAAGGTTCAAACGAATCCAAAGGATTTTGGGGTGTTCTAGCTGAGAAAGCTAAAGCAATTCTCGAGGATGATGATGCCATTCAACAATTTGAATCACCTAGAATGAGGCTGCAGACTCTCAATACTTCTACAGGTGGCCAGGTGAATATAGACTTCCAACTGTACTTCTATTGTTAAGGAGAATTTTAAATCATGCAAAAATAAGCTTTATAACACTTTTGGTTTGTTGTTTGAAGCCATTTTCCTGTTCATTTTATTGCTATTAAGTGTTCATATGGTCTGGCTTCCTTATCTGATATATTTATACCCTGGCCATCTTGCTTTTCTGATTATCAGCCATATCAATCATTTGAGAGCTCCAGAAAAGTGGACAATCCTAGATTCCAAAAGGGCTTGGATGCACTCACAAATTCACTTAATCAAGTTGGTGACTCCATCGGAAATGCATTGGAGGTATTGGTGATATTCAAAAATTAATTCATGAATGAATTTCATAAATTTATGGGCAATTAAGAAATAACACAAGTAAAATGAATGTAACTGACATGAGGATGTTGAAGTGGATGTGTGGTAAGACCAAAATGATAGAATTAGAATGAAAAGATTTGTAAAAAAGGTAGCATGAATTAAAGATACGTTGAGAGATAACAGAATAAGAAAGTTTGGTCATCTTGCTAGACATATGTATGTCATAGTGATACCAAACCTGTCTCACAAAATTGTTAGTTAGTTTCCACATTTTTATCTGTTCCTTTTCAGGAAGGACGCACTATTGTGGAGACTAAAACTGCTGACATCATGAATGAAACCCGCAAGTTGCAAATTAGGAGAAGAGGAGGGGGTTCTGAGGAACAGAATCAGGTCTCTGGTGGTGCATATAATCCGTGGCACCAGCAACTTTCAGTGCAATTCACACAACCACAGATGCAAACCAATCAACAAAGTCAGCTCAAGGCATCTCGCGACGTAAGGTGGCAAATTTCTAGTATATTGGTTCATGCAGTTGAAGTGTATAGATGTTTCAACCAAAAATTCAGTTTTAAATCTACACACTCCAATTAATCGGCAAGGTTGGAGTATGGTGATTTTTCTATTACTCCACTTATTCAACTTTGGAAATTACTTCTTTAGAAGTTTTTTTTTTTTCTTTTTATTTTATTTTTTGTTAAGAATCTGAAAATGTTGGTACATTTGGTAATTGCAAAAAAAGTTAGTTTTTTTGTTTGTTTGTTTGTTATGGAGAAAGTTTTGTGGCTCTTTTCAAACTCGTTTTTTGGTGAGAAATTACCATGCTACCCTTGTAGTGTCACAAAACCCTTATTAACATAACCAAAGGGACATGGTGGAATTTCTCAAAGTATGGAGGGTAAAATCGTCTTTTAAGAATTCCGTTGACATTCCCAAAGAAAATCATTTTTTTATGGAGACGTTGCTTTTTTAACCAAATCAAATAAGCCTTTTTACTTTTTATTTTTTTAACCAAAAAGTTGTTTATTTAGAGATTGCCAGACAGTTCCTAGAGTACATATGTAGATCAAATTATAATCCCTATTTGGCCCTTTTCGACAAACAAAATTTTTCAGTTAAAAATTGCTAATTGCATGTTGGCTAAGATTATGGGGGAAATCAGCTGATTTATTGCAAAAAAAATTAAAGATAATTAAGAGTCAAGGTGGTCATATGATTTTCATCATTGTGAACCAGTTGATTATATCTCCATGGTGTTAAAATGCCTTCTTGGCCTTTGTTTTGGTTCACACAGGTAGCAATGGCAACAGCTGCCAAAGCAAAACTTCTTCTCCGGGAACTAAAAACCGTCAAAGCAGATCTGGCTTTTGCAAAGGAACGATCTGCTCAGCTGGAGGAAGAAAATGGAATCCTTCGAGAGGCTTGTGAGAAAGGAGACAACCCTGCAGATGACGAAATGGTATTTATTCCTATAGTTTCCTTATTTTCAGTTATTCTTGCTGTTGCTTGCATGACATATTGATATTTGCATTTATTAAGATGGAATGCAGGCAATGGCAGAGCCACATAGGCTCATGAGGGGCACGTGCTCCTTTAACATTTTCAACAATTACTTTTTAAGTTTTGAAAATGTTTTTTAATTTTTCACACATTATATATATGCCCCATAATTTTTTTTCATTTTTCTTTACGTAAACTTGATACACCATTGATTAGAAGAGGGAATTAGATTGACTCATTATGGCTTTGTTTGGGAAGTTAGCTATTTTAATTGGCTATTTGACTTTTTAATTATTTTAGCTAGGCTAAATAGTTGTGTTTGAGAAGTTTATTGGCTTTTTTTTAGTAGTTGATTTGATGGTTGTAAGATAAGAAGTGAAATGATTATGGATCGGATATGACATTTTATTTTATTGACTATTTAGCATATTTTATCTTTTAGTGGGCTATTTTGGTTCAACCCTCTTCCCAAACACCCACAACGTCACAAATGAATCCATGACAATATTTAGTTTTATTATGTGTGTGTATCTTATTAGCATTTTCTATTTTTATTTTCATTTCTCATTATAATGATATGTATAATATTGGAATATTTTTGAATTTTTTACCAAATCAAACTAAACTAGTTTGCCTTGTGTCTACCAAATCAAATACCCATATAACAATGAACTGAACACACTGTTGCATTGTGCATTACTTGAGGTGAATTTACTATGACTGCCTTTCTGTCACAACACTATAATCGACAGGGTTAAGCCGAGGTTGATAAGTTCAAGTTGTACCAAGTTGTGATTGTGTATAGACACTGTTATTTACTGGTACATATTTGCAAATCATAGATACGCCTTCAGCTCGAGACCCTTTTGGCTGAGAAGGCTCGTTTGGCGCATGAGAATTCAGTATATTCTCGTGAGAACCGCCTCTTGAGAGAAATTGTGGAATACCACCAACTCACCATGCAAGATGTTGTCTATTTGGATGAGGGCATTGAAGAGGTTACAGAAGTTTATCCCATCCCTGCCATCTCTAGGATGCTCTCAGTTTCTCCACCCTCACCTTCGTCCCCATGCTCTCCTAAGATTGCCCCATCTACTAACCTTCCTTCAAAGAAGGAAACTATTCCTCAAGCGAAAACTGATATTCCTCGGTCTGAGGCATCACTGAGTTCCAGTACAAGTTCTGCAGCACAAGATTCAATGAGACGCTCAAATGCTTCTTCCTAATTATATTTAGCTATTTTTTCTTTTCATCGAAGGTTCATGTAAATTAGTCCATTTTTTTGTTCCTTTCTTTTCAATTTTGGGAGATGGAGAGGAGAGGAGAGGAGAGGTGAGGGTCGGCAATCTTTTTTCCTGCTATTTTCTCTACCTTTTTTTTTTCCTCTGTTCTTTTCCTTTTTTCTTTTTTTTCTTTTCTGTAACTGTGTAGCTGAGCTTTCTGGTTTTGTTATTAAACAACCACAGAAAGCTCATTTTCCTCTTGATTTCCTCTTGCTTTTGTTATTAAATTGCAGTTCTCCTAGCTTCCAAGATTTTCTTGTTGGTTGCAAACAGTTAAAAACGGATTTCTTTACCATTTTTTTTTTACCACTAGATGCAGAGATTGTGTGGGCCATAATAACAAATACACAAAAATCAGGTTAAAAATCAGTTTATATATAACATTTTCCTTGATGAAACTTCGAGATCAAGATTTTCTATGCCATCTGATGGTGATTGGTTTTATGACCAAAGGCTACATGAAAACAATGCATGGTTGCACAGTAATTGGGGCCTGTTTGGTGCAGTTTTTTGTCGGTTGAAAGTTGAAAATCAAAAACCAAACACTAGACTCATTCCCTTCTCAATAATCAACTTATACAAGTATTTTTGCCTCATAAACTGCAAGCAAAACCTACACCAAACATTCTGATACTGATTTCCAAAACTAGTAAGTAAAAGTAATAAACGGTTTATAGAACTGCACCAAACAGGTCCTTGGAAATTTTCCACTTTCCCCACCGCTACACAAGAAGTTTAAAATGGCTTTTCATCTGGCCCAAATTGGCCGTCTGTCTGGAGAGTTCAAAGCTTATGATACCCTGTATCTTTTGCAAGTGTTTCTAACAAAGAACTCCAGGCAACCAGTTTTTAGTGCGTTGTACTAGCAGCCAAGATGATGCGGATACAAAGGATACAATGCCTCCAAAAACGTAATCAGAGCATGACTAATACAAGACAGTCTATTACAAAGCAAGGATCGACCAAAAAGCTGAAGATGTAGGTACAACGCTGCCAAAAACTAAACAGAGCAAAACTAATACGGCAAACAAACACATTATCATGTAAAATCATTCCCCATGTCATGTTTCTCATTTCTCAGTCCATCACCATTCTTATCATGTAAAGTAATACTCCGTGTCAAACTCATGTTTCTCATTTCTCCGTCCATCACAGTAAGCACTATGTTTTTGACCAGAACTCAAATCTTTTTATGTAACTACATTGCAAAACATCCAAACCATCATTGAAGCTCTTTGATATCAGAATATAATAGATTTAATGCATTGCAAGGCAACAAAACATTTATTGGAAAGCTTTCATTTATGGCAACTGAACAGTGTGGTACATATATTGTTGGACCTCAAAGCAAAGGCCCCAATTACATACACAACTTTTTTCAATACAGCATACGACACTAACTTCCAGCGGTGGCCCAAGAACTGGGCTGGGCCGGATTTGGTCAGATTTTACCTGTGATGTTGACATGATAAGGAGATGGCTGCTTTGAGCAAGGGTTTTAAGCTTCAAAGCAGAAAAATCTCCCCAGACAAGACAGTACTTGATGTTTTCAGAATAACTGGAAAAATAGACTAGTCGATCCATCACCGAATGATCTGAGATCTGCAGGTTTCACCAAAGCTCTGCACAGTGGGCATGTTCTTTCCCTCTCGAACCTGGAAACACAGGACTCTTTTTTATCCCAAACAGAAATTGGAAGTAGAAAATTCATGTTTTGATAGATTCAGTGCAGCCGTTAATGACACTCTGAAATCACAAACAAATTCCATCTATTTAATAGAACTTTGCTTTGAACGAACATAATACACCAAAAGGTCATAATGATAGTATTATTGTAATTCAACATGAAAATGATACCAAATAGCCTATGGTGATTGCAGCAATTAAATCACTAGAATAAAACAATGCCCGTGAACAATTTATCTCTAATGGCACTCTGTTTTTTACATGTTGATTATCAAGCTATGTCACCTGCGTGTATGTAAGACCAGGGTGAGAATTTCTGATGCTGTAATGAAACTAAGTTTCGTATTCAATCCATTTCATAGCATCTTGTTTTATAGGAACCTTTAAAGCCAGATAGCATTCAATTACTAATAACAGACACACCATACACATTGAGCAAACTCTCAACTCCAACACATACAACAGAGGCCAACTACGATGCCTAGACATTCAACTTCCACACCTTTAGGCCGTGTTTGAATCGAAGATTTGAGGAGGGATTTGTGAAGGGAAAGGAAAAGAAAAGGGAAAAGACTTTCATTCACTTTTCCCTTTTTCCTTTCCACGACAAATCCCCCTCCTCAAATCGTTGATCCAAACACACCCTTAATGCTACACTAAGAAATTCTTCATCATACATTTTCTAGTGATAGACTTCGAGCACATTTATTAGAGCCCCAAAATACTATATTACTGTTAGGCTTCCAATTTTCAAGTCCAAGAGGGGTTGGGCGATTAGTTAAGCAATCCACCAAACAGGTTCTCCACCTACTTGCTTCTTGTTTGGAGAGGTGGATATTTTACCGTATTTTATCAAAAGAACACAAATGCTATAAGTGGAAAGCAATCAAAGAGCACAACCACCAAAAATTCATTAAATAATAACAATTTGAAGTATATGAATGCTCCGCTGAACAAAATATACCGAAGCACACAAAAAACAAGCTGAATAGAGGACAGAAAACTAACCATTCTGATACACAGTCTTCACAAAATATGTGTTTACAACGTAACAAGATTGGAGCATGCATCTTTTCCTGGCAGATAGCACACAGATCACCCGCTGCACTGACCTGCATTAGATCACATCAAGCTGAATAAGTTAATAACTTTCCCTTAAATAGTAAATATTCTGGAAGAATCCACTCAAAGCAATTATCAACAAGCACGAGGTCAAAACACTACAAAGCAAATCAAAAAGGCATCATAAATGGCGAGCACATAGTGAGGAGTTGTTATTCACATTTTTTTCTCAAAACACATCACTGTGAACAAAGACTATCATCAATTACCAATGGAACGAATCCAAACATCTTCAATAATTGAATTCATCGAAAAATGAAGTTTGACAAATATCCATGTCAGACACCTGACATTTGGACAAAGGTGTGGGATATGTGTCCGTCCGATACTTTACATGATAAATTAAAAATATAAAAATATAAACTTTTTTTTTCAAGTCCACATACCCTTTAAATTTGAGGTTTGATGGGTCTGATCTCTACGTATGCACCCATACCCGATACCCATACCCAACTTCCAAGTCCATGTAACATGTAGAAGACCATCAAGTATATCAAGCAGAGGGAAAGAAATGAAGGACCAAATGTGCTGGTATGACATGTGATCAAAGTGTATCATATAAAAGAGGAGACTCTTTTAAGATAGAAGAGAGTAACTAAGTAGAGGATGTTAAGACAGATGTGTAAATGAGGCAAGAATGTAAAGCACCAACCAATGACAAGGAACTAGTCACATAAAAAGTGGAAATAATCCACATCACCAACAGGGAATGTGGTCATTCAACACACAATCTCGACAAAAACAATGCTAAGAAAAATGGGTTGGAGTTGTGAGAGCAGACCCTATCAGTCGTGATTTGTGAGTAATGTAGAAGCCTTCATTAACAAAAGATTCATTAGAAAAATGGGTTGGAGTTGTGATATACTAGGGTTTATACAACTCAGTGGCATGAAATTCTGGTTCGAACGGGCTGGTTAGAGACAAACCAAACAATATTTAAAACCCTAATGAGAGGTAGCAGGTAGCCAACCGTACCCCCACTTTTCGGCGGAGCGGCTAATTCTCATGAGTCAAACCACGCCATAGTGGTGGGGCAGATGACCACTTGCCATCATGTCAGGTCAAAACCTCTAACCTCATACATAATAAACATGTACAGGAATATAGAAGGAAAAGAAAAAAAAAAAAAGGTATTCCAAAGAGATATTTATCAGTGGCATAGCAACACATGATTCAACTTATGGAAATTGCTCAGTAGGGTGCATGAAAAATGAAAACTGCACTACCTGCTCTGAAGTTGCGTAAGCACCGTAATGAATCTCTTTGCGAGACAATGCCTTTAACGCAGCAAAGAAAGATTGGACCTGAAAACCACCAACCAATAGACGAATTGGGGAAGAAAAGGAATAAAAACCATGTACAAAAAAACTACTACCAAAAAAAAAAACAGCCACCACAAAATTGCCAACAATAAAAGGAACCGAGCAAGAGAAGCTGGGCATACTCAATACCTTCTCAACTACAGATGTGAGCTTGAAGGTTAGGTACAGCCCAGTCATTAATGATGAAAAGAGGCTCCCATATTCTTTGTTCAAGAAGAAACGATACCAGACTGGTGCTGGCAACAAGGCACGGTATAGCAGAAGCAGATACTCCACCAAAGTTAGCATTTGACCCTGTAAAATGAACCATAATAATAAATATAAAAAATTTATTATCAGCAATAAAATGAACCTAAATGAATTTTAAAACGACCATTGTGCATTATACGAACCTAAATGAATTTTCTAAATGCACGAGTCAACATGAACTCACCTGTCTACGGTAATTTCGCCCTCTGCTGTTTTTGTAGTACATTAGTAGAATACACTTGAGAACCATTGTTGCCTGCCGAACCAAAGTATCTGAAACAAACCAACAATAAGAATTCTCACAAGGCACTGAGAAATTAAAAAACCATTTTTAAAAGTATATCACAATTGGACAAAGCCCTGGAAAATATGAAGAGTACAAAATTAAAAAATCTCAACTTTGAACAAGGAGTTTCACACTTAAAAAGGCCAAAAAACCTACATTGACAAATAGATTGTTTGATGCCTAATGGCGCACAAAATTTAGAAGCAGAATAGATGCTGAGCTTGAAACATGCCTAACTAAGGAAAGAAAAGCGCTCCAAACATTTTCCCTTCATAAAGGACAAAATATGTTGCTGAGATTTAGGACGAAACACGAGAAAGAAATCACTTTCCAGCAGGCGCTGAATATAACCTGATCTAGAAGAAAGCAACATGCTTTTATACGTATTATTATGAAGTCAATAAGCACTATACCAGCTAAACTTTAACACTTTCTGATGACTTCCCCAACCTCACACAACCTTAGAAAAGGGTGAGGATGTAAATGTTAAAATAATAATAATAATTACCAAAAAAAATGTATTAAAAAACACTTATCAAAAAAAAATATTCTAATAAATCATAATATACTATGCGTCAGTTAAAAACAACAGCCAAAAAAAAAAAAAACAGCTGTCAACATAATGACTAAGTGACAAGACACACCATTCACCATAATGATGAAGATAGCATGCCAAAAAGGTGGTATAGCTTTTGGGGGAACCATGATCAACGGAAACAGAATATCATCATTCCAATACCACCAGTACACAACAATCACATGAAGCCCAAACACGAAAGAGATGCCAATGAGAATAGGTATTTTCCTCTCCCCCTGCAGAGAGACACTTCATATGCTTAATAATCAAATTTTTAGGTTATTAAAAATGACAGTAACCATCATAGCTACATCAACAAACAAAATCCTAAACAGCATTCACAATAGAGAAGAACATTTACAGCACCTTCAGAGCTGTCTGCTTTCGTAAAATATCATTTGACTTAAACATCACGGCAGCAATCCAAATTGTAACAAAAAAACCTGCACCCTTGGAACATGTCAATTGTCAATGACTTTAAATATGGTTATAAGAAATGAAAATCAACCCGAAGTTAAAGCCTCAATGGCCACAACAAAGAACATGCTCAACTCAAAATTCTAAAACGCATAAGTTCAGGTGAGCCCCAAAACTAAAGAGAGAGAGAGATATATCAACAAAAGAATAACTAGATTGTCCACATGTAACCTCCCCTCCAAGGTTGAGCCGTGCCGACCAAGGCAGGCGAAAAGATTCAAACTATTGATGGTCCTAGGAAGAGTTACTGTTCTGGGTATCCGAAATAGGCATTCATGTATTTTGTTAGAGAATTAAATAACTTGGTGTTGGAATACTAAATGACTGCTTAGGGAAAGTAAATGAGAGTTAAAGGGCATTAAAGTATAAAAGGGGCAATACATTTAGCACATTGTAATAAGAATTTCAAAATTGTTGAATTTATCTCATGACATTTGAATTACAAACTTTCAAGGTTTTTTTCCATATTTTTGTTTAGAAATCTAGATTCCACAGTGATAGGAGATCTAGCAATCATTACTTGCAACCAAAGGTGTAATTTTCTCTATTTTGATTGCTTCAAAAATAGCACCCTCATCTTGGGCGCCGCTAGCACTAAGGCAAGGTCCACCTAAGCATATATGTCTTTGCCTACCTATCTTTGCCATCTCAAGACTAAGGCATGGTCATTCTTGCCCAAGCATGCCTTCCCACTGCACCCACTCAGGTAGGCTTGGCAAGTACCAGCATGTTCCCCGTCTATACTTCTCCAAGGACCCCGATGTGGGTAGGGAGCAAGGCCTAGAAACCCCTACTCTCTCTCTCCCTCTCTCTCAGCTAGAATTCTTCAATTGGAAGCACCATAGTGAATTGGGTAAAAAAAAAAAAAATGGGGGGCTATTCTGAATAAATTTAATGTCATGGGATTTTGAAGAAATTCTCACATAATCACTACTCACCTATCCCTCCGCTCCTAGCCTCTACACTCACCTCCCCAACCTCTGGCAGTCCCATCGAGACTGCCCCAAATCTAGCTACTTCAGGAACAAAAATTCACAATCATTTAAGATTAGCCACCCAAGATCTTATATATTTTAAAAGGTTGCCTTAAGGTAAATATATCTTTTATTCAAGACCGTGAAATGAGGCACCTCTGTGATCAACAATAAAAAAGAAATTTGGACATAGATTTTTAATTTTATCCATGTCATTGAGGTGTACAGATACCCATGCAAAAAGACCTTGCCTTGCTACTTTACCACAAAATTCAGCAAGATCAAGGGTTCAAAGTTTTTTCCTTTAGAACCCAACGACCATGGACGACCATGTTTATCCATGTATCAAAGGGGTTCTGTAATGCTATTTAATTTTTTCAAACGTTCATCAAGACTAAGGCATCAAAACTGTGGTGGAAACTGTGCTTTCACCCTTTTGCATGGGAAAAAGGAACATGCTCACTGCACGTCTTCAACCTCTGGCAAGATTGATAAAGGTTTAGAATAGAAAAACTTTCCTTCATATCTTTAGCTCGTGTGACCAAATATGTTGCAGAGGATTTTCGGAAACTATGTTGTTGAGTTTAACTGAGCATGAAGGAAAGAAAAATTGGGATTGAAGTTGTTGCCATAATTTTCTTGGATATTTTTATCACTTGAGTTGATTTATTGTAAGATCTTTTGGTCTTGATTTGAGAGAGGGTATTGTGCTCATTGATTGTGACCATTTCTGCTCATTAATTGGGATATTCATTGTTGACCTTCCTTGACTACTCCCTTTTGCTCTTAAATTTTATCCTACCACCTCACTTTTTTTCCTTTTCCTTTAGGAAAACTTTCCTTTAATTGGTGTAATTGATCTTTAGGTGGGTCCATTTATAGGAAGTTTTGATTTCTTAAACGTAAGAGAGCAATAAGTAACATGGTTGTGGCTTGTGACATTTGGTTCTAGCTCAGGGGTGACATCTGTAACATTTTTTTGTTTGAGAATAATTTGAATAATTCTAGACTTCTAGTATTTCAGAAATTTCCTAATTTACTCCTTTTTGAACATTTCATGATACTAATTAATCTCGTCCTTGTGGCAATATATTCTTAACAGCCAACTTTGAAGGGAAAATAATTGACGTCCAACCATATGAGGTCATCCTAAGTTCTCTCACACTTTTTTTTTATTTTATTTTAAATTTAACGCATAGGTCGTATTAAATGGACACCAAAGGGTGTCACCCTTGTACATCAAAGGAAATAGATACAAAATAGAAAATTGTAATTCTCCTATAAAATCCACCATCAAATAAAAACAAATGAAATTGATGACAATTTTGAAATTTTTTCAACAAGTACAATTTTGGAGATGACAAAGATTCTCTGCCTTATGATTGATGAAACTTTTTTCAACAAGTACAAATGAAATTAATGACAAAATGGGACATTTTGGTTTGAGAGTGATGAAAAATTTAAGGATGAAAAATTTAAGGATGAAAATCAAGAGTGAAGTTGGAGTTAGTGGAGAAGGTTGGTGACTGAAGGATGGTTTCACTGTTGCTATGTCGTTCGGTAGCTGTTGTTCATCCATACAAGCTAATATCAGAGGAGTATATTTTTTAGGTGATGGGGTGAACGACTCTTGAAATAGTTCTGCGCTGGAAATGGAGAGGGTTTAAGTTCTCTGACAGAGTTCGGTAGCTGTTGTTCATCCATACAAGCTAATATCAGTAGTAGGGTTTGTTTTGAGGGAGTTTATTGCAACTCTTTGCTTTCCTTTGATATTTTGGGTGGGAGGCAGTAATAGGTGCCTTTGGAGAGAGAAATCGACAAACTTTTGAAGATGGATAGATGGCATACAGGCTTAAGTTTACTTTGCATCAATTTATTCATTTTTGGTTGAAGGAGACTTTTGTGAAGCCTCTTATTTGCTATGAAGCACGGACACGGACACAGACACGGACACGGGACACAGTAATTTTCAAAAAATGGAGACACGGACAAGGCCGGGAACATGGCTAATTTTTTTTTTTTTTAAATATATCTTTATGTATTATGTAAATTTATATTACATTCATCCTAAATTAAAATTAACAAACACTAACATAGTAACATTAATTCAATAAAAGAGGAAACACTAAAAGATATATATGTTTATAAAAGTAAAAAAAAATTAAATAGAGAAATTAAAAGAAAATAGAATGATGGTAAATACATAAAAGACATAAATTTATAAAGAAAAAAGAAACTAAATAAAAATATATAATATATAAGTGTATATATTTATACAAAAAATAAATTTAAAAAAGAAAAAGAAAGAAAGAAGAGAGTCGGGAGAAGAAAAAGAAGAGAGACGTGAGAGGTGACACACACAGAGAGAGAGAGAGAGAGAGAGAGATGAGAGAGGGCATTTCAGTTCGAAGTTGAAGGCGATTTCAGTTCGCATCATCTGGGTGGGTTCGTCGTTTCAAGTTTGCGACATCTGGGTTTTCATTTGAGTCAACATCTGTTCGTCATTTCGGAGATCGAAGTCGCAAGTCGATTCGAATTCGAAGCCCTAGTTGTTTTTCATGGAGATCGATCGAACAGGTTAGTCTTCTTTTCTCTATTTTTTCTTCTTCTTTTGATTTAGGATTTAGGTCTTCCTTTTTCCTTCTCTGTGTCCCCTTGTCGTGTCCCATGCCGTGACACGCGTGTCCCCGCCGTGTCTCCGCTGTCCCCTACAAAAAAATTATTAAATTAAAGGGACAAGCCATCTGGCGTGTCCCGTACGTGTCCTCGGCGTGTCCGCGTGTCGGACACCACCACGGCACCGATTTTGAAGTGTCCATGCTTCATAAGCTTATTTGTTGGTGGATTTTATAGCAGAATTACAATTTTCTATTTTGTATCTATTTCCTTTGATGTACAAGGGTGACACCCCCTGGTGTCCATTTAATACGATCCTACGCGCTAAATTTAAAATAAAAAAGAAAAAGTGTGAGAGAACTTAGGATGACCTCATATGGTTGGACTTTAATTGTTTTCCCTTCAAAGTTGGCCGTTAAGAATATATTGCCACAATGACGAGATTAATTAGTATCATGAAATGTTCAAAAACGAGTAAATTAGGAAATTTCTGAAACACTAGAAGTCTAGAATTATTCAAATTATTCTCAAACATAAAAATGTTGCAGATGTCACATGAGCTAGAACTAGATGTCACAAGCCACAACCATGTTACTTATTGCTCTCTTACATTTAAAAAATCAAAACTTCCTATAAATGGACCCACCTAAAGATCAATTACTCCAATTAAAGGAAAGTTTTCCTAAAAGGAAAGGAAAAAAAGTGAGATGGTAGGATAAAATTTAAGAGCCAAAGGGAGTAGTCAAGGAAGGTCAACAATAAATATCCCAATTAATGAGCAGAATGGATCACAATCAATGAGCACAATACCCTCACTCAAATCAAGACCAAAAGATCTTATAATAAATCAACTCAAGTGATAAAAATATCCAAGAAAATTATGGCAACAACTTCAATCCCAATTTTTCTTTCCTTCATGCTCAGTAAAACTCAACAACATAGTTTCCTAAAATCCTCTGCAGCATATTTGGTCACACGAGCTAAAGATATGAAGGAAAGTTTTTCTAATCTAAACCTTTATCAATCTTGCCAAAGGTTGAAGACGTGCAGTGAGCATGTTCCTTTTTCCCATGCAAAAAGGGTGAAAGCACAGTTTCCACCACAGTTTTGATGCCTTAGTCTTGATGAACCTTTGAAAAAATTAAATAGCATTACAGAACCCCTTTGATACATGGATAAACATGGTCGTTCATGGTCGTTGGGTTCTAAAGGAAAAAACTTTGAACCCTTGATCTTGCTAAATTTTGTGGTAAAGTAGCAAGGCAAGGTCTTTTTGCATGGGTATCTGTACACCTCAAGGTAGTGATAGGACGACATGGACAAAATTAAAAATCTATGTCCAAATTTCTTTTTTATTGTTGATCAAAAAGGTGCCTCGTTTCATGGTCTTGAACTATGAAGCATGGACACTTCAAAATCGGTGTTGTGGCGGTATCCGACGCGCGGACACGCCGGGGACACACACTGGACACGCCAGATGGCGTGTCCCTTTAATTAAATGGTTTTTTTTGTAGGGAACGGCGGAGACACGGCGGGAACACGCGTGTCACGGCATGGGACACGACAAGGGAACACATAGAAGGAGAAAGAGAAGACCTAAATCCTAAATCAAAAGAAGAAGAAAAAACAGAGAAAAGAAGACTAACCTGTTCGATCGATCTCCATGAAAAACAACTAGGGCTTCGAATTCGAATCGACTTATGACTTCGATCTCCGAAATGACGAACAGATGTTGACTCAAATGAAAACCCAGATGTCGCGAACTTGAATCGACGAACCCACCCAGATGATGCGAACTAAAATCGCCTTCAACTTCAAAAAAAAATGCCCTCTTCTCTCTCTCTCTCTCTCTGTGTCACCTCTCACCTCTCAACTTGTTCGATCGATCTCCATGAAAAACAACTAGGGCTTCGAATTCGAATCGACTTATGACTTCGATCTCCGAAATGACGAACAGATGTTGACTCAAATGAAAACCCAGATGTCGCGAACTTGAATCGACGAACCCACCCAGATGATGCGAACTAAAATCGCCTTCAACTTCAAATAATTTATTTTCCGTATAAATATATATACTTATATATTATATATTTTTATTTAGTTTTTTTTCTTTATAAATTTATGTCTTTTATGTATTTACCATCATTCTATTTTCTTTTAATTTCTCTATTTAATATATACCTTTTTATAAATATATATATATATATATATATCTTTTAGTGTTTCCTCTTTTATTGAATTAATGTTACTATTTTAGTGTTTGTTAATTTTAATTTAGGATGAATGTAATATAAATTTACATAATACATAAAAATATATTTTTAAAAAAAAATAATTAGCCATGTCCCCCGCCGTGTCCGTGTCCCCATATTTTGGAAATTACCATGTCCCGTGTCCGTATCCGTGTCTGTGTCCATGTCCGTGCTTCATAGCAAATAAGAGGCTTCACAAAAGTCTCCTTCAACCAAAAATGGATAAATTGGTGCAAAGTAAACTTAAGTCTGTACACCATCTATCCATCTTCAAAAGTTTGCCAATTTCTCTCTCCAAAGGCACCTACTACTCCCTCCCACCCAAAATATCCAAGGAAAGCAAAGAGTTGCAATAAACTCCCTCAAAACAAACCCGACTACTGATATTAGCCTGTATGGATGAACAACAGCTACCGAACTCTATCAGAGAACTTAAACCCTCTCCATTTCCAGCGCAGAAGTATTTCAAGAGTCCTCCACCCCATCACCTAAAAAATAAACTCCTCTAATATTGGCCTGTATGGATGAACAACAGCTACTGAACGACATAGCAACAGTGAAACCATCTTTCAGCCACCAACCTTCTCCACTAACTCCAACTCCACTCTTGATTTTCATCCTTAAATTTTTCATCATTCTCAAACCAAAATGTCCCATCTTGTCATTAATTTCATTTGTACTTGTTGAAAAAAGTTTCATCAATCATAAGGCAGAGAATCTTTGTCATCTCCAAAATTGTACTTGTTGAAAAAATTTCAAAATTGTCATCAATTTCATTTGTTCTTAGAATGGAGGTTTCAAAATTGTCATCAATTTCATTTGTTCTTAGAATGGAGGGCCGTAACTTCCAACATTTTAATTTCCATCAAAAAACCCTCCACACTAAGAAAATTAACTCTATCTTGTTCCTTGACACCTAGCATATTATTTGATGTAGTTGAACAAAAAACAAATTAAATCAATTTTAATTTGTTATGAGACTCTTCTCTCTTTGTCGACTGCAATTGTTTCTAATTAATACTATTAGTTGTTTCCAACTAACAATTATTATTAAATATCAGTTCCTAGTTTTTGTTGGCTTCCCCCTCACCTATACTCTTCAACTTAGGCTGCCACATTAATAAGCAAAGTGCATACAGTTGCCGCTTATACATAACGGCACATGTTTGGATCTCAGCAATATGGGTCCCATCTCAAAGTCAACGGTTCAAGCCCCATAAATACATGACAAATAAAAAAATAAATAAATAACAGATCTCAAGAAGACTCAAACCTCACAATTATTTGAACATTTTTAGACCAAATTGAACTCTCACACCTACTCAGTCTTGGCAATACTAGGATATGATTTATGAATGCGACAAAATTATGCATTCTACAACCAATAGAACAAGGCCCTCTCCTACAACAGCTAAAACGTCAAAATTGAAATTTTGTTGAAGTGTATACCTTGCAAATGCTGCCGGATAAAAACCACCAAGAGAAGCAAAGAGAACGGAAGCACCTGCTCAATCCATCGCGCAGCCTGCTGTATGTCATATCTCTGGTATGAAGAATCCCTGCTATTAGACCCAGCTCCGTCCACAGCCTCCCCATCTCCATTCAGTGATTGTGAACCACTCTCTCCCACCCCGCGATCACTCCTGTAATCTCCCTGACCATCCAGTACCGACGAAACTGATGTGGCCGACGCTGTTCTACCAATGGGCTGAACATATGCTTCATTCTGTGCATTCATTGAAGAAGGCAAAAGCCGATCGTGTTCTTGTTCGCCGGCACCAATTATCCTAATAGAAACCTCTCCACCACTGTTAGCCACAGGAGAAGAATCATTCTGAATGTGATCTTGGTAACCAACAGACACGCCGTTGCTGTTTATCGAGCTTTCAGATTCCAAATAATTCGACCTCGTTCGAAGGATTCCCGAGTATTCCAACAATGTCGAAAGCGGTGAATGGAAAAAATTCGAAGCCGATAACTGCATTCCGTATCTTCTCGAATTGCTACTGCTAATCACCGAAGAACCTCTGTACGCGTCCGAATTACCACCAGACGCTTCCATTTCCGATGAGGATGATTCCCTAAACCCAACCCTAACCCTAATCCATCAAAATTTATCAAGAATTCAACAAAATCAAACGACAAAAAGCGTCGATACATGAACACGAACGATTAAATAGAGAATTACCTTCGAGATCGAAGCTCCGTTGAAGATTCAGATGATGATGATGATGATTGATTGATTCTAGAAACCGATCGATGAATCAAATTTTATCAACTTTTGATGAAGATCAGCGGGTGCGAAGAAGAGAGAGTATCAAAAAGAGAAATGATTGTGTGTATGAATTTGATTTGTTGTCTGGAAGCAAATCATCTCGTGAATTCTGACCTTTCTTCTCTCTCTTTCTTTCTCGCTCTCTCTCCAGGGAAGAAGGGCGCGAGAAGAAGAGAGAGCTAGGAGGAAGACCAACGAAAAGAAATAAAATAAATTAAAAACAAAAAAAACAAATCCACCTCTCCACCCTTTAATTTTAAATTTTTTTTTTTTAAATATGTATATAATTTAACTCTACTTTTTAAACTGTATTACAATAAATACTCTTTGCTAGTCTACTAAAGTTGGGCCATCCTTTTTTTATTTTATTTTTTTCTTTTGTTATTAAATACATATCTATATATATATATATATTAAAATAAAACTCAAGACATGTTTAAATTCTCACGGGATGAAAAACATGCCTAATTTAAGGAAATTCTTACAACTTACAGAAGTAGTATAAGACACCACATAAGTATTAAAGTCTTATTTGGAACAGTCCCACTACAGAGCCCGAATTTCTCATGGCTCGACTATCCCGAATTTCGAAACAATGTCGTTTTGAATTTTTTTTTTTTTTTTTCTTTTCTTCTTCCTCCCCCTTCATTCCCCCTCTGCCCTGTTCTACTCTTCGAAACAGATGAATCAAAATCAAAACACAAAAACTCAAAAAAAAATAAATCAGCAAACCCAGCAACAGACATGAAAAATCTTAATTAACAAACCCACATGAAAATCAAAATCAAAAACTCAAAAAAATCTCACAAATTACCAAATCTACAAAAATCAAAAAAATCCACAGCAGCAAAGGAAGAAAGAAGAAGAAAAGAAATAGAAAGAAAAAGAGAGAAGAACAGGGGAAGAAGCCGCCATTGCCTGCTGTCCGTCTCTCCGTCGCTATCACTATCTCTTCGCCGTTGCTCTTTTCTCTCGCTATCCCTCCTCTCTTTCTTCTCCTTTCTCTGTCGCCATCACACTGTTGTTCTCCTCCCTCTTCTCTCTCTCTTCTTCCTTCTCTCTTCCCTCTTCTCCCTTCTTTCTTCTCTCAGCTCTCCTCCCTGTTTAAAGAGAGGGGAAAAAAAAAATCAAAACGATGTCGTTTTGAATTTTGAGCCAATTTGAGCCTCAAACTATTCAGGCTACCAATCTTTTTTGTATTTGGAAACATGTTTAAATTAGTCAAAAACTCAATATAAAAAATTAATTAGATTTTTTTATTTTTTTATACGTCTTTTTATTAAAAAAATTCAAAAATGATTTCAAAAGCTAATTTACAAATGAACACTAAACATATATGCATAAAATATGTCTAACAAATCAATCCAATTATTAAGGACAAACATATTTATAATGTTACGAAAATGCAATTTGCATGGCAAACTCTCTCATATTTTACCACCTATGAAATCATGCCTAAAATGTAAGAAAAGTAAAACAAGACATTTGTCACAAATGCGTAGAATTAAACATATATTTAAGATGACTCATCTTCGTACTTTTTGAGATTTCTTCGAGAAGATTAGACACTAGAAGTTGTTGTGGAAGATTTGGAAATGACTGACAAGAAATATTGAAAGAAGACAGAGAACCATACACTAGTTCTCTATATTTTGATGGTGCACCCAAAGAAGGCACATGAGCCTTATTCCCCTTAACACTAACTATACCTTTATCTCCCTATGAAGGTATATACCCTATTATTCTCATTCTTCCTCCACAATTGAAAAGTGGGCTTTCAAGGATTAAGGTGGCACCTATTGTGAGTATGACCAAAACTTGCATTTGTTTCATGTTGGAGGTTTCCACTGTACCTCCAAATTGAGGTCATTAACCATACCATTACTAAGTTTGATTGTGAAGTTCTTTGGAATTTCTTTATGAGCTTCTATCAAGATGCTCACCCTTAAAAAAATTAAGTCTAGTTCTTCACTTGGGTAGACTCATCAAGATATAACTGAGTGACTAGACACATACTAAGAAACTCAATTCATCATCATGCCATGGCCGCAGTAGCACATCAAAAAATTTAGTCCAAATCAAAATTAAGCACCACACTCCACCTTTTTAATATTAAAAACCTCTCTCTACAATAATAATGACCCAAACTTTGATCTCCAATTGCACAGAGCAAAACCCCTTCCTTCTCTAACATTGCAACAACTATGGACCGGATGATTTGAGATTTCTGAATTTGATTTACAACACCATGTCAATCAACTGAGCTTAAGGTTGAGGTCGAAGTGATCGTTAAACCCCCATTATTCCTCAATGGAACCGTATCAACAATGTGTTGTCTAGTGACCACTATCCCATGGTTAGGGATAATCAATTCTTGTAAAGATTATCCTATAGAAGTTGGACTTTCTCTTTGAATGAGTTATAAATCTCCACCTTAGCAATTATATATTTTGTTTTCACTTCGTCCACAAATTCATTTGACACCCCAAGATCAAACTCTTCATTCACAATCTAGTAATAAATACCAGGCTATGAAGACACTTCACAGAAGCCTTTGATTTCCTAACTCTTTTTTGGTAATGTTTTCCTAACTCTTTAGTTAAGAGCTTTATTTGATATGAAATATTTTAAATTTCTTATAGTAAACTCCAATTTTTATTTGAATATTTTTTTGAAATTCTCATCATATCCCAAGAGTGTCATTTTAGTAAATAAATAAGTTTCAAATGAAATAAATATAATTGTTGAATATTTTAGTCAAGATCAGGTCTCATTTTATTTGGGTAAAAAACAGGTAAAATTCAATTTGGAATTAAAGAAGTGTTTTGAAAGTTTTTAAATTAAATTTAAATTTAAATTACGATTCAAGTAAGAATTAGATACCCTAAAACTCACATTCCAAATATCACACAAGCACTCAAAGTGTACAAAATGAGGAAGAAAGTACAAGCTAAAAAGCACAATGTAAAAGGTAAGCAATAGGCATGCTTTGAAAGCAACACATAAGTTCTGCCAATAATGACATTTGAAGACTTATAACACATCAAAAATGTTACAGATCTAAAAAAATTAATAAAAATTCGACATAATATTTATTTGGGTGCAGAAAAAAAATTATCAAAAATTATATATAATATTCAGTGAAAAATTTTTGATAAATTTTTTTTGGTCCTTAGCAGTGCTCTTAACAATTCAATAACATCGATACCATCCAATCTTCGTAAGTTTACAATGAAATTTATTTTGATAATCTGAATCATTTATATTGTAAAGTTTACTGAACAAATCAACCATTCAAAAATCAGATTAGTTGGACAGTCCAACTCTTCTTTTTGTCGATCACTAGATCTTCGCTACTTTACTAGCAGACTGAGTTATAGCTTGAGCAAGAACAAAGGCAAACATCTCTATTGCTTGAGTTGGAGCTTTGAACTCGATGAGATATTGGGTGCATACCCTAGAGTATCTTCCATTCACTCCTCACCATACAAATGAACAAATAGGCAATCTAATAGATAAATTATGGCTTCCTCACCATTAGCAAGCTTCCACAGCCAATGAACTTATGTGATGTGCTGACGATTGTCCAATTAATATTAATTTTTTCATGAATAATTTTCTTGATAAATTCTATGAATAATTATTTTGATAAATTTTATAATATAAACGATTTGAATCATCCAAATAAGCTCTAACGAACCCAAGATACCTTAAGTTGACTACAAAAGCCTTGCCCTTTAAAATTAATATCCAAAGCCACAACAACGAAGAGTTCAATGATGATGGGCTACAAAGTGCGGTAGCCCCTCTCTCACCATGACCACCAATTGAATTCGATTTTTTATGAATAGTGTAAATAGAACACATTTTATGATTAATTATTACAATAAACCTTTCATTTTAAATAAAATTTGATCACACTTAAAATGAAATTCATTACATTATTTTAACCAGTCACAATTTGTTTTTTAATTTTCCTTTCAACTCAAGTGAAAGGCAAATTCAATCTTGCAAAATTACCACCCCACCAAACTTTATCAGCTAAAATGCACATTTCCAAGTTTTGCAAATGTCGAATCCACCACATACCATCACAAAGTCTAATAAAGTAGAATATCTTATCTTATTTACTTCTCACCTAGAAGATTAACTTGAAACCAATATGAGCCACACATTTTTTTCAAAGAACAAAAAAAGCATATTCATTTTCACAAAGTACATCCAAATGTAAAACATATGACCATGAAATTTTGTCATCCATTGACTAGTCCAAAAAAAAAAAGAGGCTTCCCTACCATGGAATCCAGAATTACAAGCGTGAAATTAAAAACCATGCAAATTATGCATGGACAGTTTGGTGTACACAAATTGCAATAGTTCCATGATGACAAGGACGAATCGAGGAATGGTAATGACAAACAGCAATAATAGAGACTGTTTTAATTTGGATCGTGACTTTCTGGTTTGGCGTTACCTTTAAAATAGATTCAGAATAATATGAAATCCAGGGATAAAGACGCTAAAGATAGGGATGAGTGAAGTCATGGTTATATAGTAGAATCCACCTAAATATTTTGTCTGTAAGAGTGAAATTTTACACAATCAAGGCTGTTTTCACTAGGAACCAAGAAGTAGAAGTCAATATCATATATGGAAACAAGAGAACAGACAAAATCGCATAAGTTGAAAGTCTGGCAGACTGAAATAAAAGTGTAATCATCGAATACCTAATGATTTCCAAGGAACAGCAAGCAATGCAATTAGATAACAGGGACCCAACAGCTAACAAGTTTGTAAAAGTCAAATTCTGATTGTTAACATCAATGATTCAACTTGTTTCATTGACCTTTTTTTCCCCTTTGCAAGGTTCAAAAGCTTATGCAAATTCACACACTAAAGCAAAAGAAAATGAAGATCAAAGGTTCCCCTAAGCATATTTCCTGCATTCCTGGAACATCAGATAAGCACTTTATTCCTCACGAATCCATTGAAAAAGAGTTTCCTACATCAATGCAAAACAACTCAATAAGTTAACAATTGATAAACAAACATAAACACGTTTAAATGAGAAAAATATAGAGTACTTTGCAGGTCCACTCTTAAGGAAACTTTTGAAAAAAAATCTTCAATTTGAGAAACAATCTTCAAAACATGGGCATAATATCCTCACCATTAAGCCTATCAACAAATTGGATAAGAGCCGGGACTGGCATAATCCGAATCTGATCTGAAAATCCATCCCGACCTGATTTATTATAATACATTATTTAAAATCAAATTTCACTTTCTTCATTTTTTTTGTTGTTGCGCATTATTTTTAAAATATAATAGTCTTACATATACATAAAAAATTAAAGTATGAAAATCATACCAGGTCGATAATCGGATCAGATCCAAATAAATATCCAAATCCGACAATAAGTGAATCAACCGGATTCCAATTTATCGGATTCTAGGATTAGATATTCCCCTAACGGATTCAAATTTTTCACGTCAGGTTTGAAATGAATCTGATTCATTGACAAGCCTACTCACCCTGTTGTAGCACCAGCAGATATGCAGGTTTGCTTTAAAAAATGCCGAGTGATTCAAAGTTTAAGGTTCTCTCTCTTGGAAGTGAGATCATGGAGTGGTTAGAATCTAATTCTCAAGCCTATTGTCAGCAGTTATTAATCACCATATATATAACCAACCTAATATTAAATGGCAAAATTAACAAAGGTCGAGACGTACAGCTAGAAGGCCTCCCTAGATAAAGACACAGACAGTTTTCTCATTAATAAAACCCTAGGTAAAGGAAAGAAAACTTTAAAGTTGAAAACTGAATGATATCAACCAAGCACTGCGCTGATTCCGGCAATATGAAGTACATCTACATTTTTGTACAAAGGTGACCAATACTTTCCTCACACAGCTCTGCAATATGCCACAAATATGCTTTGAATTGTGAGTAGTAAGGTTGTGGGTGTCAGCTTATTAGAAAAAGGAATGGGAAGATGCTAAACACTCATCTTCATATACTTTCAAAATAATTACTCAAATATTGACAAGAATACTTTTTCAATCGGCAACAAAAGAAATTTATTTATTAAAACAGTAAACAAGTACAAGAGGTGAGGGACAAGGAGTACACTAAAATCAAGAGAAAAGAAAAACATGAATCCTCACACCCTACAGATAGCACTCAAATTTCTTGAATTTGTTTTTGAAAAAAAATGGAATCTCTTTAAAAGAAAGGACCCCTGAACCCAAAAAAAGAAGCCAAATAACAAATTTTCTTCCAAATACTCTCAATGTCTTCACTTTTCTCCTAAAAAATCCTAGCATTCCATTCTAGCCATAAAACCCAAAGAATTGCATAATACAACACATCTCCAAAGATCCCAAGCAAGGTTCTGAAAAGCGGTTGCGGTCGCCGTAACGGTAGCGGTGACGCGGTTGCGATTGCGGGGTGTAAAGGCCGTAGTGTAACGGTTGCGGTAATCGGAACCGTGAATTTTTTTATTTCACACAATTTGAAAAAAACTTACCGATACGCATATTTTTTTTTCATGATTATATTTATTGGTTTAAAAATAAATATTGATCAATTTTTGTAAATTTTTAAGTATGATCCAATATATTTCATATTTTTAAATCACTATAAACTGAGTTTTTTACATTTTATTTTAATAATTAATGACTTTATATTTTACAAAAAATCAATCACTAACTATTATATATAAGATAAATAATGACAAAAGTAAGAGAATAAATGAGAGCCTAAATATATATATATATACATATTTTAACCAAGCCAAATATAGATAATGATTACTTATTATTATTATTATTATTTTCAAACAATATATAGATAGACACACACAAACAAAATGGTTTAGTGATAGCAGTTGAATAGAATAGCATAGGTCTTATAGTTTCAACAAATCAATAATATGTTCTCCATCTTCCCTCTCTCTCTCTCTATCTCTTGCTTCTCTATTTTCTCTCTTTGTAGAAATTTAATGTATAAAGAGAAATGATTGTATTATTGATTGTTATATTGATATATTACAATGATTCCTATATATAGAAGAGAGGATGTGGGAAGAGAATAGGTGAGTGCTTGTTGTGCTGGTCACGAATTGCTTGCTGCTTGCTGGGTTGGCGATGTGCTGGCTGCATCAGATATTTATCATCTTACCTGGGAGAAGAGACTCAAAATTTGTATTGGAGCTGCCCATGGATTGGACTACCTTCATACGGATATTGAGCAAGGTGTCATATATACGTGAAGACAACAAACATTCTGTTGGATGAGAATTGGGTAGCTAAGATTTCAGATTTTGGGTTGTCCAAAATGGTAAACACAAGCCATACACGAAGCCACGTTAGTACAGATGTTAAAGGCACATTTGGTTATTTAGATCCAACGTATTTCTTGACTCGTAGACTAACCATGAAATCAGATGTGTATGCCTTTGGTGTGGTCCTATTTGAAGTGTTATGTGCGAGGCCACCAGTGGATTCAAGTGTTGAGGAGGACCAAATGGGTCTAGCCGTATGGGTTAAAAAATGCATCAAAAAGGGAACCCTTGACCAGATCATTGATCCCTCTATAAGAGGACAAATATCACCAAATTGTCTAGAGGTGTTTGCAGAAGTTGCTAAGAAATGTTTACATAATTATCCAAAAGGAAGGCCTACAATGAGTGAAGTTGTGGGGAGCCTCAAGCATGGATTGGCATCACAGGGCAATATTCGTATATCTGGACAAAAGGGAACAATAAGCATTATGTTTTTGAGTAGTGCACATGTAGTGGCTAAAGGTATTGATCTTGGGTGGAGGAAGTGGAAGAACAACGGTCCTAAGAATGGCGTGTCATGGCAGCTGCGGAAGGATCCAATTGCAGATGCTGTTATCCAATTATACCATCGTTTCACTCTTGCAGAGATTCGAGCAGCCACAAATAATTTTCCCTCTGGCGATCAGGTTCGGTGGCGACATCGAAGTGTATAGAGGCCATATCAGCCACGGGAATCTTGATGTGGCAATTAAAAGGTGGAAAGAAGGAAAAAACAGGAAAGTAAACTGATAAATAAAATAAAACAGGATAGGAGACACGGTATGGTCGTGTCAGACCGTTGGAGAAGATAATGTCTGGATAGTGTACGAGGTCATGCCGGACCGATGTAGAAGTTGACCGGGAGCAATGTCGGGACAGTTTATGGGGTCATGTCGGACCGATGTAGAAGACAGTTTATGGGGCCATGTCGGACCGCTGTAGAAGACAGTTTACGGGGTCATGTCGGACCGCTGTAGAAGACAGTTTACGGGGTCATGTCGGACCGATGTAGAAGACAGTTTATGGGGTCATGTCGGACCGGTGTAGAAGACACTGTATGAGTGTGTATATAGGCTGCCCAAAAGATATACATGTAGATATATATATCGAGCCCTCAAAAGTCGCGCCCTCAAAAGGCACGCCCACTTCATCAAAAGTCGTGCCCGACAGAAAGCGTCGAGCCATCAAAAGGCGCGCCAGACACGCGGCGATGCACGTGACCGACAGAGCGCGTGTCGGCCTCTTCGTCATGGTCTTTATAAACCGAAGCGAAGGCTGAGGCTTGGAAGCATAAAAAACCAGTTGAAACCTCTGCATTCTCGGAGAGCTTGTCTCTAAGAGCTGCAAATCTTGAAACACTCTGTAACCAACCCTGTCTGACAGTACCAATCGGTAATCGCTGCTTCTCTGAAACACTTAGCAACCCAAAAACATGGCCTCTTCTTCCCGTGGTCTGCTCACTCTCTTTCCCGACCTCAACGAGTCAACAAGAGAGATAGCTGTAGCGGTGGCTCGTGAACCTCAACCAAACACCTCTAGCTTTGCTCCGTTGAACTTTCCGATGCGGTCGGTGGAGCAAAAAATGGCAGTGCAAACGGATATTGAGGCCAATCAGTATACATTGAAGTCATGTGTGGAAACCATGACTGCGGTCACAAACTTGTCGCACCGGCTGCAGAGTAGGACAAATGAGGTGCAGCAGTTAAACGCCCAACTGGCTCTGCTCCAACGCATGTATAAGGATGCGCGAGCAGAGATAAGTGTGCTAAAGACAGAAAACAAGGAGCTGAAGCGGAAGGCCACCGTGATGTTCCGTTTTGGAGGGCCGCCATATGCTGCAGTGGAGGAGCAGGATGGAGTGATCGTGCCCAGTGGAGTGGGAAACACGAAGGCAACACCGTCAAGGTCCGCCCAGGACGGAGGCAAGAAGAAAAGACCTGCAGCAGAGTAGAGAAGAAAATCCTGCCTGTGGATGTGGTTGTTCTGTTTGTTTGTTTTTTTTTTTTTTTTTGGGTGTAAAATTGTGATCGGGGTTGATCCATTGATATGAATAAAATGAGTTTGGTGTGCAGTTTCGTCTTCTTCCGATTTTTTTTTTTTTTTTTTTTTTTTTTAAAATGAAATGGCGTTTCTACTACCAACCAAAGCCAACCCACACAATGACACACACACCAATGGCCACACCCACAACACTCAAGCATTGAAATAATATAATTTTTATATATAATAATAATTTATAATAATTAATTATATAATTTTTATAATTTTCGTAAATATAAATCATTTTTCACTTGAAACAATTGCTTTCATCATGCCACAGTGAGTTATCCGAACGTCCTGCAGTTTCCTTAGATCTCTAGCTATGGAAAGTGAGAACGTAGTTTGTAGTTTATGACACCAGAACACATCTACAGACGTCAGGTTGCCGAGCCATACAAGTTGGGTGGGACCCTTCCACATATTTGTCAATTCAGGCAAGAAATATAGTAAGTGTGCTAAAGGCGGAAAATAAGGAGCTGAAGCGGAAGGCAACTGTTATGTTCCGATTTGGAGGTCCGCCATATGCTGCAGTGGAGGAGCAGGGAGTAGTGATCGTGCCCAGTGGAGTGGGTGCGGGAAACACAGAGGCAGCACCGGCAAGGGCCTCCCAGGACGGAGGCAAAAAGAAGAGACCGGCGGCAGAGTAGGGAAGAAAAATCCCGCCTGTGGATGTGGTTGTTGTGTGTGGATTTTTTATTTTTTATTTTTTTTATTTTTTTTTTTGTTTTTGGTGTAAAATGGTGATCGGGGTGAGGCCCGACATGAATAAAATGAGTTTGGTGTGCAGTTCGCCTTCTTTTGCTGCTCTTCTTTTTATTTTATTTTATTTTATTATTTTTTTTTTTTGTTTTTTGCAAAGAAAGAATAATGAAAAAAAAGGTTTCGTGGCCCACGGTTTGGTTGATGATGAAAGTTGGGATGATATATATATTATTTTGAGTCGGTTGTCCATGTGGTGGATATAAAAAAATGGGTCAGGAAGAGAACAAAAATAAAGGTGATGAAAAGTTTGAAAGAAATGATGGTGAAAATAAAGGAGGGACAAGGAAAGTGGCCATAGTGGTGGTATTGGGAGAGTGGGTGCAAAGTGAGAGAGAGAGAGAAGCAGTGTGGCTATCCTTCGTTGAACATCAGCACCAATCAGTTCAACAGCCTTTTTCTCATCTTTATAGAAGTGGAGTGCTGGCACAGAGTGAATATTTAATTCGCTTAATTTGCTTCCAAGCTCCTCCTGAGCAATATCAATTTTATATATGGTGACATAAGGGGTCGAGTGTGCCAACCCAGCAAGAGAAACCCACTGTTTTCCTCCACCCATCACCAACAACACACCAACAGTTGCACTAATGAAAATACTGATGCCCACAATAAAGATGATTATATTGTTGTACCCCCAAGAAAGAAGAAGAACCTTCTCATAGAATACGGTGGACAACTCCGAGTGGGCAAGGCTGAGGGCCCACAAACGAAGGTATGAAGCTGTATTGGAGACTGCTCCAAGTACAAACTCTATCGTATGTATAAGTTGATGGACGGAAATTTCACTAAACTCAAATTCCTCCCCATGAGAATGGGAATCATGACTTGCCTCCAATTGTAATGAATCTTCTGTGCCTTGAAGTGGCACGTAGGACTGACCGCGGTGTCTATCTTCATGCTGTTTCTTCAAAAGAAGAGGCTTTGGGAGCAGCATCCATGGAACAGCAATGAGGGTCAACAACAGCAGTACAAGCTGAACTGTTCTCTGGCCAGCAAAAAACTCGTTTTCCCCAAGTTCGTCAGTGGGACTGAGGAACATATATATCAGTACGTGATATAAATCAGCTTTTGAACTAGTGCACCATTTTACAATGATGAGGAGGGAAAGGTAACCGAACAGGCTATTTAAAAATATCAGCTGGGGAACAAATTGGAACCAGATATTCAGGCTATTGCGGAAGAACTTGGCATTGAAATAGCTCAAAAAGATTCCAAGGTTCATCTGGGCTACACCGAGAAGTATTGACATTTTCATCTTTAACGAACTGAGGAATGGCAACTCACTGCGGGAATGCCAGACAGGGTCCACTCCAAATGGATATGTGTCACCCACCTTAATCAAGCCTGCAGTAGTAGCATGAAAAGAGTGCCATCATCAAAATCACATAGCGACCACCAAAGGTCATTTCTGTGATGTCTCCAAGCTTCTGACCAGAGAGAGAGAATGATGGGAAGGTATGTGTAGAAAATAAACGGAATAGGTTGAGGTCCGGCGGGCGGCTAAGGTGAGGTTGCCGCCCGCCGGGGAAGCGAAAATATTAGGTTCTAAACCTGCTCTGATACCATGTTGAAATTTAATGTATAAAGAGAATTGTATTATTGATTGATATGTTGATTGATATCTATTACAATGATTCATGATTCCTATATATAGAAGAGAGGATGTGGGAAGAGAATAGGTGAGCGTGTAGTAGGTATGGAGTAGGTGAGGAGTAGGTGGAGAGTAGGTGAAGTAGGTGAGTGTGTAGTAGGTGGTAGTGGTAGGTGTGTAGTAGGTGAATTTTAACACTCTTTATCTTCCCTCTTCTCTCTATCCCTCTTCCCTCATTTTCAGCTTTTTTTTGTATGTTTTTTCGAAAGAAACAGTTTGGAACCGTTGCGTAACGGTGCGTTACGGCTGTTACGGCACCGTTACGACCGCTACGGCCGACACACCTGTGAATCTCAATCACACTACAAAAGCAGCCGTAACGGGTGGCGGTAACCGCCAAAACCGTTACGTAATGGCGTTACGTAACGGTTGCGGCCGCTTTTTAAAACCTTGATCCCAAGCCTTGCCAAGAACAAATTTTCTCCTAAATACTCTCAACATCTTCGCTTTTCTCCTTAAAATTTGTAGCATTCCTTTCTAGCCATAAAACCCAAAGAACCGCATGATATAACACGCCTCCAAAGATCCTGAGCTTCGACATTTGAACCAAATCCTGTAAAATCAATGCTTAACATAGTCTCATAAGCAGGTGGAAAAACCCAATCCTGCTCCACCAAATGAAAAACTCTCCACCATAAAGATACAACCAAAGGACAATACAAAAATAAATTATCCATACTTTCATCGGTCCCCTTACACATAACACACCATTTTGGGAAGAAGTACCAACTCGGCCTACTTAGCAGAGAACATAATTCCTTGAATGTTCAAAGAAGAGCAAGGCTAGACTTAAGTTCGTCTTAAATTACAAGATTTAGATGTAGATGGTGGTATTAGATATATAATGCATAGTTGCACAAAGCGGGAGCGGGAGCAGGGGTACATGGCCACTTAGAGGAGTCGTAAATTAGGAGTGCTTATGTATTATTTTTATTAATTATATTTTTAATTTATCTATATAAATTTTTTTATTTTTAATTGACATACGTGTACATATTTTTTCAATAAATAAATTGACATACATACATATATATATATACATATATATGTTATAAATGAAAAAAGATGAGTTTAAAAAAAACCAAGGAATAAAAAATTTTGTTAAAATATATATATATATATAAAAATAAAATTATAAAAATTATTATAGATACAAAATAAATTATATTATATATGATAAAATAAGTTATTTTTATTTTAGACATTTATATTATACAATTTTTTTTGGATGAACAATATTATATATTATTATATTAATGTAATTTATATCGTATAATATAAACTTAATTAAAAATATTAGAAAAGAGAACAGAGAGAGAAGAGAAGACAAAAAGAAAAAAGAAAGAAGAAGAGAGAAGTCAACAAAAGGAGAGAGAGAGAGAGAGGAGAGGAGGAAGAGGGAGATCGAGAGACGAGAGGAGAAGAAGAGAGAGATTGAGAGAGAAGACAAAGAAGGAGATCGAGCAACGAGCGACAATTGAAGCAGCGAAGCAACGACCGAAGCAGTCGAAGTTGGTGACCGATGTCTTCATCCTTTCGAATGGCAACTAGGTTCTCTCTTGCTCTCTACTCTTTCATTTCTTTTGTCATTTGTAAAGAGTTGTGTCCAAGAGAGAAGAGTTGAATCCGACGAGAGAGAAGAGCCGTGTCCAAGAGAGAACGGAGTTGTTTGATTTTCACAGACATTTTCATCTCATACCGAAACGAGATTTTCTCTCTTAAGAATCGCGTTTCTTACACGATTCTGATTCGGGAACGCAAAATCGCATTTCTTCCAGAAAATCGTCACCTACTATAACGATTCCTGCTACTAAGATATAATGACTGCTATGACAACTTGGCCTACATCAAAAGGACCTACAACTACAGAAAATGCAGAAATAAAGAGTACTATGATCTGAGTGGACACAGGGTTGACAACAAAAGAACAGCTAAAGACAAACTATTATTGGCAATGGAAGATTATGCTCACAAAAATCATTACAACACCATGTTGGACAATCTTTTCATCTTCCATCTCTTCCACTCGAAAAGAATAAAGAAAGGCTTAATTGAGTGCTTCTGTCTCACCCTTTTGCATTTCGGAGAGCCAATTTTGCGTAGACCTGGGTTACCAGGAGCCTAGTAGTAGAATTCAGTTTGATGGCGTTAAAAGGAAGTTCATTCTCAATTCTTGTTGCAGCCATGGGCACTGCTCATGGAATTACAAATAATTCATAATAAACAGAAGAGAAGATCTATACATGCAAAACAATATGATCTCTGACTGACTGGAAGCTGCTGTGCGATATATATGCAGACTATCATTTAACAGGATGTTTATATGATTGTGTAAGAGAGAATGGAAGAAGTTTCTTGGTTGGCTGTTGGGAAAAGCATTTCTGAGCTGTCCAAAAATCCCACTGAACTGACAAAATAAAACTTTCCATCAAAATTAATCAATTAGATTATTTGCTGAAATCTGCAAGGTAATATAGGTCATGTCAATGTTAACAACCAGCAACTTTGTGGATCTGTTAATAAGGAGAATAAGTTTAGAGAATAAAGTGCATTAACGACATTATGTGGATGCTTGGAAGTACGTGAAATAACCTGCTGAAAAAACATGAAAATGGATATGGTATTGTGCCAGATGCACGTGGTTGGACTCACCCAATAAGCATTTCCGACAAACAGATTAGTGTTATCACAATCCAAAAAGATCCAGAAGTTGCTGAGGTATTTCTTCTCTATCGCTATGTTACAAGCATATCTTAATATAAATGAACTACCATGTTAGACTTCCTAGCTCCTAATGTAGAAACTTTATTCTACCTTAAAATATAAATGAAGGAAAATTGGATACCTTTACCACACATTGTAACAAATTAGGGGACATCTTGACTCAAATCCAACATGAACTACATGCCAAAGTCCAAATATAATATTGGTGGCCAACACCAAGCAACCTAGTCTACTGCACTATTTTAGATAATTCAATCCACATAAACTTAGTTTTGAGAGACCAAGACCAAGTACACGATAGGCCCAAAAGAATGAGGAGAGGGGGTGTTTTTATAAGAGGTACATAAGTAAACACCTCTCTTGCACTCATCGCAAGAGAGTCCCAAGGCTCAAGGGCAAGAACACTAAATATTTACCTTCACATGCTACAAGTGATGCTCCACATTTTTATTTTTTATTTTTATTTTTTTGGATTGGCATTGGGGTGTCCGAATCAAAACCCAACTAATCCCTAGGGGTGCACAAGCTCTCGGCAAGGAATTTCCCACAAGTGCACCATGGTTTATTCAAGAGTTATCCCCCAATCTGATGATCCAAGAGAATTGTTAACACCTAAGAGATTTCGATCCCTGAACCTTAAAATAAGCACACCCTAGGACCCAAGGCCTTGTCACCTATGAAGTACAGGTACGGGTAATGGTAATGGTACGATACGAGGCACGTCAATACAATAAAATTCAAAAAAAAATAGGGTACAGGTATAGCTTGGGCTTGGTATGCTTGTAAAAAAAAATTATTTTTAATTTAGATAATGAAAAAATTAATAAAATAGTTTAATTTGTTAGGGTCTAACCTACAATTAAAATTTAGTGTCAAAAGTAAAGGTATCAATCAAAATTTTAAAATCATGCAAAGCATAAAACAAAAAATGAAAAGAAAGTCTAGTGAAAGGAGTTTTATCTCTGTAATAAAAGAAAAAAATTATTACAACTAAGGTACAATACGGTTTAGGTATATACTAAGTACGTCTAGGTACGCCAAAAATTGAAAAGAAAAAATTTGGGTACGTGTTTCGTGTATTCAGTACGTATGCAGAAATACTATACGAGGAACCATACGATGGTAAATACGCGGTACGGGTACGGCATGTTTTTCCAAGTACTCATACTTCATAGCTTGCCACCAAGCCAACCCCTCGGGGTTTACAAGTGATGCTCCACATCAACCAAGCACACACCTTTACATCTATATAATACTTCAACTATTATTAATCATCTAGAATTCAATAAATAGAGACAACATTTTCACTTAGGGGAGCCGATCAATTCTTGGCTTGGTTGGGGCTAGGGCTGTAAATCAAGCTTTGATGCATGCAAACAGCTTCAGATCACTTCATTGGGAACCCTTATGAGTTTGATTCATGCATGTTTATTGGTCAAGCTTGAACTTCATTCCAAGCTTGGGTAGATAGAGATCGGCTCATAAAAGTTGATTAAGGCCTCGTTTGGGAACATACTATTTTAACTTTTTGACTAAAATATGAGGTAAAAAAAATTAATATATTTGAAATGACTTTTTGGGTTTTTACAAAAAGATGTGCAAAAACTAAAGAGAAAAGGGAATCTTTGACTTTTTTATATAGATTATAGACTTTTTGATTTTTTTAATAATTTTTTTACTTTTAGGCTAAAACAAACACTTGTCAAATGAGGCCTAAATAACATTTTGTTACCAGCTTAAAGGCCTGCTTTCTTGGCTTTTTAGGCTATAAAAGCCAGCTTTTGGGGTTTTTTAGCATAAAACACCGAAAAAAACATATGGATTTTAAATAGGTGCCAAACAGGGAAAAAATCCTAACCTTTGGTAATTCAAATTCGAATATTTTTACCCCACAAAATCGTTTTTTTAAGCTTAAAAATAGCACCCAAAAACACAGCTTCATAAAAGTTAAGCAGCGTTTGGAGCTTATTTTGAAGCTGAAATAAGCATGTGAATTTCAATTTTTGAACTTAAAAAAAAAAATTAATAATAATCAAAATAATTTTTAACATACGGAGCCAAAAGTGTATTAGAGCTAGATCATCTTGAAATCCTCATTGAAATAAAACAATAACTTGCCATGACCAACCGTTTCCTTTAGCCGTCATGACGATTTTGAAAGTATTGCATCAAGTATCGAGTAGGCCAAGCCAACTGAAGAGCTTGAGCAGTTCAACGCATAGCTAATTCAAGCTTGAGCTAAACTTATAGTGGCCATCTTCATGTGAGTCAAGTTTTAATTATTATTATGATCAAAATTAATTCCCAAATTAATACTCAGCTCATCTCATCTATGACCTTAATTAGAGTAATCTAACCTTCCACCCCAAAATGACTCAAGGTGGTCAATTCTTCTAAAATAGAAACCAGTGTTGAACCAATGACTTTGGGAAACAAGTTAGCCCAACCATGGACACAAAGTTGGTTCGCATTATTATTTTTTTGGGCTCTAATGTGCACGCACCCCTAGGCTACAGTCTACTACACAAGAATCCCTAGTGCTGAAAATCAGCCATAAACCACCCACCTTATCCAAAACACATCCACACACGACCTATCTTATCAGAAATTGACCAACTGATCAAAACAAGCATACAGTCTACATTCTCATTTCATCAGTAAACATATCAGATATTAGCATTGCATCAGTGCACATAGCAAGATCTTGGCCACAGCCGATTACACTCTGACCAATACCATTCCCTCAAAACCATGTAGTGATGTGATCCTATACCCTGAATTTGTGGTTTATGTAAGTGACAACATCCAGAACCAGTGATAACAAACAAACCAAAGAGAACACAATTCATGTAAAAGTTCATGCCAGACAATTCATGTAAAAGTTCATGCCCGAGGATACCAACGAGATACTAAAACAACATCAAGGAAATCTTATAAGAACTCCACCCTAGAAGCTACAAGTTATAAAAGGCCTGTGCCATAGAACATAATTAAATTAAGGGTAAATTACACTAACCTCCCTTGGTATTAGAAAAAAATACAATAAGGCCCATAATTTTGACATAATTATACTGACCACTCTTTTAGTAAGGTTAAATGGACCGAAACTAATCCAAATGATGCGAAAACACAAATAAACAACGTAGAGTATAAATTTTCGTGTTAAACAACATTATTTTTTCTGTTCACATAACTAACAAATTATTGACAAAATAGGGGCCAAGTGTTATATAAATTAAAATCTCAAGGAAGCTCAATGTAATTATGTCAGAACTGTGGAACTTACTGCATTTTCTCTAAAACTAAAACTCAAGGTCAGTGTAATTTACCCTTAAATTAACCATGTTATTGACACCTTTTCTATCTAAATACAACTACATAAAAAAATATACAGAATCATACCCAAAAAAATACTCAGAAAAGTAGAGGACAATCATAATCATCCTGCGTGTGACCCACATTTTATCAATTTTAAATTTACACCATATATGTTCAGAGTAATTTGGGGGGCAAAAATTCACCATAGATTAAGTTTTCTGGGTAATTTTAGCATTGTCGTTCTATATATGCTGTTCCAACATCAAAGTTGAACCCTCACAATACCGATTGTTCAAATCAGACAGTATCAATCAAAACCCTAAATTCACAAGTAGAAACAGATAGAGAAGGCTAAATCATTCAGAAACTAGTAATTAAAAAAATACAAAGAAAGTAACAAAGGAATTACCAGAAGTGGGGACTAATTTGGGGACGAAACAGACTTCTCGATGAGCTTCTTGTCCCGTCTCTCCATAGCGACGTCCCACACATCGTTGCCGACGTGCTTCGGCTGTGATTTTCAAATCAACAACAACAACAACAACAACAACAAAATAAGAACAAGAAGAAGCAATCGATTTGGATGCAAAAACACACAAAGATTCAATCTGAAAAAAAAAAACAAAACAGTTTGGATCTAAACAACAAAAAGAAGTAAATTGAGATTATACTCGGCCGTGAGCGAATTTGTGGATGTAATACTGAGCATTTCCCATTATGCAAAGCATTCCGGCTATGATCCCCAATGGCAGTGCTGCTTCCAACCATTGCAACCCCATCTCTCTCTCTCTCTCTCTCTCTCTCTCTCTCTATACAAGGTCCAGTTTTTTTCCTGTGTTTTATGTTACCGCAAATCACACTTGGATGAGTTTTGGCATAGAAAGCCACACTTTTTAAAAACATTACGAACACGCTCCACTTCTTGTAATTCTAAAAATTACAAGAATAATGCTTGGGACCCCTTTTGGGGGTCACCCCCTCACTCCTCCTTTGTCATGTGACAGGGGGTGATTGGAGGAGAAGGAAAAAAAAGAAAAAGAAAAAGAAAAGATAACCAATGAGAGAGAGAGGGGTCAAAGGGGGTGGGAGGAAAAGGGGGATGAATCATTACTCAAATTACAATATGTCCCACAAGAATTTTAATTTTATAATAAATAAAAAAAAATTATTAATAAAATATTAAGTTAATTAATAGTTTTTAATATTGTTAAAATTTTATTTCAATTAATAATTTATATAATTTTGTTATTATATAGGAGAACAGTTATAAACTACATTTTCACAGTTAATTCTGTTAAATAAAAAATTCTGACCTGCTGGCTTGGCCACGTTGGCCTGACCAACTCCCTCCTGCACTGCCGGAATATCATCCGGTAAAGGCATCTTCTGCCTACCACGCCTACCACGTCCTCGTCCTGACATCCTAATAAAGGTAACCAAGACTATTAGCACATTCACAAATGTGCCGAAACTATAACACTTACGTCCTAATGCATGGACAACTGTAATTCATTCCACTTAAACACATAAACACATAAGCACTTACGAATTTCATTTCCGGATAATAACAGTCCCGAGACATTACTAGAGTTCCGGTTAGAAACAGCATTGATCAAGTGCTTTTCCAACAAGACTCACAGAAATCAAAGAATCCAATCAATATCCTAGAAATTAAATCTCATACCCATATAGTCACATAAACGTGTTATCACATAAGCACATAACATTACATCTAAGTATCTAACCAAGCGAGACAAACTCATTGTGATCCTAATCACTTCTCACGTACCCAAAGTATTCGAACCCGGTACGCTCTGATATCAAGTTGTAACGCCCTCAAAATAATACATAAAACCCATCACTTTAGACATGCATGGATATAAACGAAACCAACCATTCCTATTCATTAGAGTAGTTCTTACAACAGTATTACATGTTAACAACAAAAGCAAATGCCCTATAGGCTTACAGCTTTCCAAGTCAATACTTGGTTACACAAAAAAAAAAGAATACTAACTCTATACAAAATAAGCCCTTGGCTTAATATACATGTAATACAAACAAAATAAACAAAAAGAGTCTTCAACTCTCATCACCATCCAAGTTATGTTCTTGGAGGTGGCATACTACCTGTACTTGAAAATAATGTCCAATATAGGATGAGCCAACGCCCAGTAAAGATATGATAAACACAGTATAAGCAATAACTAAGATATTAGCAATTGATAAATGTTTAATTCCCATAAATCAATTCATAATCCATTTCCATTACATGACCACTATGTCCATGTTTCCTTTCATTTTCCATTTCTTATCATGTTTACAATTAACAACAATGGCTCAGAACCTGGCCAACAACTAACATGAGATAGCGACTCATATTAAACCTTTCCCATTTTACATTAGATAAGCATACTAGCTATATCAACATTTCGATAGATGAGCATATAAGCTATATCAACATCTTAACAGATAAGCATACAAGCTATATCCACACTTCAACAGACAAGCATATGAACTATATCAACACTTCCATAGATAAGCATATGAGCTGTATCAACATATTAACTGACAAGTATATGAGTTGTATCAGTGGAGTCCATCCCCTATCTCCTCCTACACAACTTCTGGTTTAGAGGTACATCCCCTATCTTCCCCTAAACCGTGGAGTACATCCCTATCTCCTCCCACACACACACAACGTATATACACATAGGTTATATACAATCAATCAATACATAACGTTAATGTATCCTATCAACTGTCATACTCTATGACACATCCAATTGATTAGTTTTAGTTTGCCTAATCATCATGCGTTGTCTACATCAATCGAAACTACCCTCCACCGGTAGCCCAAGCAATTATTTCTAAACAGATAATAAAAGCTCCAACAGATAAAATATCAATGTTTTCAAAAGTGAGCGATTAACAAATCCAACTCTACCTGCCTCTGTTTGGGAAGTGGGTTGGCTTTTTGGCTTTTTGGCTTTTTTGGCTATTTTAGCCTGGGCTAAAAAACTTGGTTTGGGAAGGGCTTTTTGGCTTTTTTGACTTTTTTTGTGAGAGAAAAGTGTAATGATTATGGGTTGGATGTGATGTTTTGTTTGTTGTGGCTAAAATAGCCTATTTTGTCTTTTGTGGCTATTTTAGCCCCAACCTTCCTTGCCAAACGGACCCATATAATGAGTCTATTTCATTATTTCCAACTCAATTCCATAAAATCACAACTTTCCAAAATTAATTATACCAATTAATTTATACAACAAATTAGGGCTTTTTCCCCCAACTCTCAATATTAACCCAAAGGTTCCAATATCAACATCCAACAACAATATCATTATTTTGAAACCCAAATTACACATTTTAGAATCAAAATAGCAAAACCCTCTTTTAACATTTTGAAACTCTAAGTCCCAAAATTTACCCAACTTCAACACTTTATCAAAACAACCAAAAATCTATGTCAAAGACCATAAGAGTGAGTAGGAATCCCTACCTCAAATTCGGAGCCCAAGGGAAGAAGATGAAGAAAACCAAAATGCTCCAAACTCCAAGATCCACGGATCAAAACGAAGCCCTCGACGATCAACACAACTTTTACAAAGGCCAAAGGAAAGGAAAGCACTCTAACTAGATCAAACCCTAAAGAGAATGGAGTTTCTAGAGAAAGAGGCTCTCAAAAACGTTTTTGGGAAAGTAAGAAAGAGGGAGGAAGTGTAGAAAATGATTCAAAAATGCCCAGCTGCCCTCTGTTATACAACATTCCAGCTCGAGCAGAGAACAGGACGCTTGAGCGTCAAGAACAAAAAGCTAGGTCCGCTCGAGCGCAATAAGGACCGCTCGAGCGCCAAGACACAAGAATAAAGTACATCCGCTTGAGCGTGAAAACCAGTTCGCTCGAGCGTAGATTTCCCCCTCCCAGAACTTTCACAGACAAAGTACTACCCGCTCGAACGCCAACCTACCCGCTCGAGCGCGACCCGCTCTAGCGTAAAGATACCCGCTCGAGCGTGAAAAACATGCTTGCAGAAGTTTTGCAGAGCACCAAAATACTGGGAGTGTGCAATATCCGCTCGAGCGCCAAACAACCCGCTCGAGCGGAACGACCAAAAACCCGGCAACAAGGATCTAGACCAAGGCTCGACCTATCTACTCGAAACACGTTCAACACATCCTAAAACTCAAACATAAAGAATTAAATGATAACAGCAAAGTATACAACCTCCAACTCCACGGAACCAAAGTCCGGAGTATAACAAATACAGGAAAGGGAAACCGGGATCGCTATAAGTGTGATCCACAGCCCCACCCCAGCCCGTTGCCATCCCTACAGGAAACAATTTATATTTTAAGCAAACCTGAGGGGATGTATTTGTAATTTATCCAAACATTTACCTTCTTTGGTTTACATTTTTTTGAAAATTATTTTTTTTATTTTTAATAAATTATTTTAATATTTTACACAATAATTTTTTATTTTTTAAATACATATAACCTAGATGCATTTAAACAGTATATAATATTTGTGAACAAAAAAATTTAAAATCCACCGAATACAAAAAATACAAAATTTCACTATGTTTTTATATTTAGCTGTATTCAATGATTTTTTTAATTTTTTTTTATACTTTTTAAATATATCAAGATTAATTGGATCTAAAAAGTAAACTATTTCTAAAAATTACTAAAAATACTAATGGAAAATTTGGGAAATTATTTTTGAAAACTCCAATTTCTTTATTCTTTAAGTCTGTCTTATGTTGTGTTGAGGAATCTCCCATTTGGGTATGAGCTATTTTAGTTTAGAAGTTAAAAGTCATTATAAGTTGTTACATTATTTTTATTTTTTTGCATTTCTTTTTGTTGAAAAAACTTTAAAAAATCAACTAACAGTTAATTTTCAAACCACTCCTAAAAGTTTTTAAAATAAAATATATATTTTTGATATTCAATAAGATTGTGTTTGGTTAATGAATTTGATGAGAGATTTGAAAAAAGTAAGTAAAATGTGACTAAAATATAACAACATTTCACCTACGTTGCACACACATTTTTCCTTTTTCTTTACAAATTCCCCTCCAAATCCATAAACCAAACACAACCTAAAGATAGTAAAAAAATCAACTTTTTATTTTATTTTATTTTATTTTAAATTAGTTTTTCAATCTATTCATTTTATCGGACATTTATATTATTCGTATAAAAAATTAGGTCAATCCGATAATTATAATCTATTCAATTTATCGTGTTTGTCTCCAAAAATATAGATGACAAGTTTATTTTTAAAAATAGACTATCTATTATTATTATCTTTATTTTAACAAGCATAACAAATTATATAAATTATGATTATCGAGTATATCTAATTTTATATATGACTAATATACATAGTTAACTCTCTAAAATAAAGGATTCAAATAAGAGCCCGGCTTCCCTCCAGTCTTAGATCAGATTGGATGATGCTGTTGGGCCCATGGGGGCCCACCACGGGACCCGTTTCAATAAACCCTTCAATTGGGGTGTTTGGCAGGACTTTTTTGAACCAACTTATGGCTTCTAACTTTTAAAAAGTTATTTTGAGCTATTTGATTAAACTTATTTCAAACAGCTTCTGATTCTAATAACTTATTTTAAGTCAAAAAAACTGATTCTTAAAAGCTGTTCACCCCTTACTTCTGATTATCAGCTTTTATTGTGGACATATTAATTCACGGTTATACTCTTAGATTTTTTTATTTTTTATTTTTTTAAAATAGAAAAAGGCCTAAATAGACTATAGAATATTATTATTTTTTTTTATAAAAAATGTAGACAAATAGTGAATAATAAAAAATAAAAGTTGATTGAAAAAGCTACTGTACAGTTTATTTAACAAACACTACTCAGCAAC